AAAAAAAAAAAATCAGAGAAGATCCAAGTAAATTTTAAAATAGTTTATGTCTATGGACTGAAAGATTAAATATTATTGAAGTGCCATATTATCCAAAGTAATCTATAGATTCAATAAACTTCCTATTAAAATTGCAGTGGTATTTTTTTCACAGTAATGGAGAATACAATTCTAAAATTTACATGAAACTAAAATAAACTTTGAATAGCCAAAGCAATCATGAGGAAAAAGAACAAAGCAGGATATCATACTTAAAATTTCAAGCTATATATTCCAAGACTATATAGTAATAAAAACAAAAATGGACAAAAAAGTGGAACAGAAGCTAATATACATTTAAGACCTGATGAAAACGAGAACTTAAAAAGGTCTTAGTTTCTCAAAATCATGCAGATACTTGTGTGTCCCCAAAACAATGGAAAAGCAGCCAGATTGTGCAGTCTGTTAGCTGTCATGAAGAGGACTTTGGCTCTCACTGTGAACTTGAAGGAAGCTCACTGAAAGAAAAGTAGAATCCCTAGAGAATTTAAAAACATAAGACAGATGCCTCTTTGTAAGAGCAAAATTAAAAAAAAAAACAAAAAGGTGCCCAGGAACTATTTCCTTGGGAACACAGCTTCCCATATAACATTTTAAGGACTCGCTTTCTCTTTGACCTTGGGACCTCTTATCTGTGTCGTCTGTTGTGTTCATTTTCACTCACACCTACCTGGGGGTTTGGCAATCATCTCATGTCTCTTCATAGTTAAAGGTTTTTTTCCTTGCTCCAGACAGGTGATCAGGTCTGGTTTAGAGACAACAATACCTGTTTTATTAAGAATAAATAACATGAATCTTGCTCATATTCTCCAATTACAAGCTAGTAATGTGCTCAGCAGAGAGGATGTGATAAAATATTCTAGTAAATAAATACTAAAATACTAAGTTATAACAGAAATTTCTTTCTTTTTTTTTTTGAGATGGAGTTTCGCTCTTGTTGCCTAGGCTGGAGTGCAATGGCTTGATCTTGGCTCACCACAACCTCCACCTCCCAGGTTCAAGCTGTTCTCCTGCCTCAGCCTCCCGAGTAGCTGGGATTACAGGCATGCGCCACCATGCCCGGCTAATTTTTGCATTTTTAGTACAGGCAGGGATTCACCATGTTAGTCAGGCTGGTCTCGAACTCCTGACCTCAGGTGATCCACCTGCCCAGCCTCCCAAAGTGCTGGGATTATAGGCGTGAGCCACCACGCCTGGCCTATAACAGAAATTTCTAAATATTTAGAAAATACTTTCAATTTGTAGGTTTCTTAATTTTACTACCTGGTACTACTAAAATAAAAAATTGGTGGTGGCAATTAGATTTTTAGGTGGGGGCAACAATATTTTATGCCACTAAATTTCTGGAATTACCACTAATTTGGAGTGAAGAATAAAGCTCAACTCAGGAATGTGGAAAGTTTGGATTAAGATGAAACATCTTGAAAAAATTCTTTTCTAAATGAACAAACTCTGAAGATTTTTCTGGAAAAAGGGTATCTGAAACTCTTGTATGCAAAGAATAAATTACTAAAAACCATTCTACAAAAAAGAGAAATAAAACCTTTAGGGTATATTATTAATTAGGTACTCAAGTTATCCTCACCAAGGAAGACCAGGTTTCTGTAGTTCTCTAACATCACATCCCTATATAAATTCCGCTGTGCAGTGTCCAGGCAATGCCACTCCTCCAGAGAGAATTCTATGGCCACATCTCTAAATTGTAATGGTCCCTGAAAAACACACACACACATATTTTTACCAAGTGGCCATGGGCGGAATTTTTAATTTGACTTAAGGTGAAATTAGAGAGTAAAGAGAAGTGGTTCTGACTTATAGGACTAGAATTATCCAATAAAATGTTTTCAACACAGAAATATTCTCTAACTCTGAGAAAAAAGAGCAGCACAAGATCCACATCAGTTCATATATTTTTCTAAAGTATAAAATTAAGGCCATGAACACGAACATGTACATTTTTGAGTGCTATATTTACATCATACGGAATGAGTTGTGAATATTTTTCAGACAGAAATGCTGAGTTAGAAGGCACCTCTCAAATTTTAATATGTACAATAAGCTGAAGACCTTGTTATGCAGATGCAGGGTTTTTTTTTTTTTTTTTTCCCCAGAAGATCTTATTTACTTATTTATTTATAGATTTATTTATAGATGGAGTTTCACTCTTGTTGCCCAGGCTGGAGTGCGATGGCGCCATCTTAGCTCACCAGACTCTGCCTCCCGGGTTCAAGCAATTCTCCTGCCTGAACCTCCCGAGTAGCTGGGATTACAGTCATGCACCACCACACCCGGCTAATTTTTTGTTTCGTATTTTTAGTAGAGATGGGGTTTCTCCATGTTGGTTAGGCTGCTCTTGAACCCCCGACCTCAGGTGATCCGCTGCTTCAGCCTCCCAAAGTGCTGGGATTACAGGCATGAGCCACTGCGGCCCGCCAATTTTTTGAATTTCTAACACACCAGTAATGCAAATGTTTTTGGCCCAAGAGGGATATTTTTTCAAACATTTACTAAGTGGAAGAGCCTGTGTTTTTCCCATATTTTCTAGCCTATAAACAAAGAGCCCTCATTTATCAAAGAAAAATATGCAGGGAAAAAATAAGAAAGGACAGCTGCCAGATTAAATATGATGGTTTATGCACATCAG